TACATTAACCCCTTAACAACAACAACAACATCATAAAACAATATTTAAATAAGGCAACAAAAAACATTAAAAAAAAAAAAATTTCAATATGTGAAATACCTAATTAATAATAATAATAATAATAATAATAATAAGCCAACGGCCATAGCGTGCTGGTCACACCGGTTCCCGTACGATCACCGAAGTTAAGCAGCATCGGGCGTGGTGCAAACTTGGATGGGTGACCGTCTGAGAACGCCACGTGCTGTTGGCTTAAAAGAGCAAAAAAAAAATGAGAACAAGACAAAGTAAGAACCAAAAAACAAATCTTGTTCTACTGTCGACCTGAGGCAGCTCGACGAGAACGTGAATTTCACTGCTTCTGACCCTGGCCACTCCAAAGATGTTAGTCACCGGAGCCCAGTTCAGGAGACAAATCGTTCCCATCGAAAAAGACGGACTCAGGAAGACCTTCAAGAATTGATGTGGTGCTATCTTATAATAAGTGGCACCACCGAAATTCGAGTATTTGTCCCTAAGGAATCGGGTAGAAACCTCGGATAAATACTTAAAAACTCCGACAAGTAGCCTTGTCGTGTTTAATGGTGGATAATAATAATAATAATAATAATTTACAAAAAATTTGTTTAATTACTCTAAGAAATTTTATAAAAAAAAAAAAATTAAAGGAAGGAAACTAATTTTTTTTTTTCATCGATTCGCGCCAAAAAAAATTTTTTACGTAATTTAAAAAAAAACGGGAGATTGAGTAAATAATAATAATGAAGAGAAATGAATGAATGAATGAAAATTACATTTTGACAGGAAATGAAATTTTTTAAAAAAATATTTTTATCCACGTAATTTTTATAACCCGGTATTGTGGTGACACATACACACTCGCACGCACACAAGAAATTTAAATGAAATAAGGTAAAATCCATTGTTGGTGTTGTGAATACCTGAACGTATATATAGGTAGATGTGAGAGAGAGAGAGAGAGAGATAGAGATATATATTAAATAATCACGATCGGGAAGTAATCGAAAGTAACAATAACCACGTTTTTCTTTTTTTTTTTTTTTTCGAATTTACTTTCGAACGTTTTAAAATCACGTTTATAAAGTTCTATTCGAATTTAATAATAAATTTATTAATTTAAAATTTTATATATAAATTCGAAAATCTTTTTTAAATTATTTTAAACAAATAAAAATTTAAAAATTTGTTTAAAAATGAAATTTTTATATTTTAACGACATCGTTTTTTTTTTTATGTGAAAAAGTCAAAAAATATATTCTCACTATTGTCAACAAGTAGAAATTTTTTTAAATAAAAAAAAAAAAATACGAGCGTGTAATTATGTTATTTGTTTTCTATCTCTCTCTCTCTCTCTCTCTCTCTCTCTCTCTCATTTTAATAATAATTTCGAAAGGGAAAAATGAAATTAAAAGTTTATTAATTTCATTATTATTATTAGTATTCATTAAACAAAACGGATGAAAGTTGTCGATCTTGAATATAAGAATATAACTAACTAACAAGGAAATTAAAGATGGCAACAACGAAAAAAAAATTTTTTTTTTTTTTAAATTCATAGACGATAGACAGAAAGTCAAGGACCTCATGGCAAAAAAACACAATCGGATGTAACGATTTAAAATTAAATTAAAATTTTTTTTTAAAATGGCGGTTAAATATCGAATGTGATTTATTTTACGTTACAACGATTATAATTACCTAAATTACGATATTAATAATAATTTTTTTGTTTTTTTTTTTTAGATGCGGCTGCTTTCATGGATCCTCTGCGCGGCAGCCGCAATATTACAAATCGTATCATCAGAGGAAAGTAAGTATTATTTAATTATTTACGTTAAAAAATGGAAAAGTTAATGCAAGTCCGAACACGATTAACGAACGAATAACGAAAAATACAAAAAAAAAAACGGTTTATTTACTCTATGACGAAATTAAAACGACGACGAGACGAGGTAGCGTTATGACGTCATTACAAAATGACGACCAATCAAACGTTTAATAATTTTTATTTTGTTATCGTGGAAAATTATGTCGATCGTACGCAAAAAAATTTTTTTCCGATATCATTTCCCGCCAAAATGATTATTTTGAATTTTAAATTTCAAACGCGACCGTTAAAATTAATTTCGTTTATTCATTGTAATTAATTAATTAATTTGTCAGTAATAATTTTTTTTTTATTTATGTTTTTCGTAACATTTTACGATATATCGTTAATCGTCATTAACGGTTTTTTTTTTAAATTTACCCATAATTAATTAATTAATTAATTAATTTTTCATCGTATTATAATTTTAAAAAGCATATTTAAAATGTGACTTCTTATTACATCAGATATTAAAAAAAAAAAAAAGAGAAAGTTTTTTTTCTTTTCGTGTAAATAACCAACAAAACTCGGTAGATTTTTTATTTATATAAAAAAAAAAAAGTTTGCCTACCTTTTAAAATTAAAATTAAAAAAAAAAAAAATTAAAAGTTTTTGTTCGCTAAACAACAACAACAACGAAAAAAAATTATTATTATTATTATTATTTACTTCCGTTCGAGAAAAACTTTCACAAAAAAATTTCAAACGTATTATAATATACGTGTGTTAATAAAAGTTTTTTTTTTTTTAAAAGTTAAATAAAAATAAATTCAAATGGAAAATTTCGACATCATTCAGGTATGCCGTGTCACCTGTACAGGGTTTTTTTTTTATACATGTTTGTTTCCCAACACATACCACACGCACACACGCACACACACACCCATAAACACAAAAATCCACCACAATATTTTTCTTTTCAACTATATACATAAATATATATAAAATTATTATGTTTAACCTCTATTAAATAATTTTTTTATATATATATATATAAGTAGAAATAAATGTTAATAATAATAATAATAATAAATAAATGGGGCGTTGTTTAAAATATTTAAAATTCCTAATAAAAAAAAAAATTAAATTCATTCATTGTTGCACTTAAGGGGCTTTAAATATTGAAAATTTTTTATCAAATCAATCCGAATTTTCCTTTTCTTAATGGAAAAAAATTATACTTTTGTTATTATGCTAATAAATGACAACAAATGCCTTTTCATCAAATAAATTTTTGCAATATGAGGTCTAAACGTGACGTTACAGTATAATTTTATGATCCACGCCATCATCTTTATAATAAAATGTTTAACAAATTTTAAAATATACAGAAAAAGTGTATGAATGTATGTAAGGTCAATACACTTTTTTCAGAGATGAATCTCTCTTAATTTTTCTCTGGGACCTCTACCCATTGCATGCACCTTGAAACCTTTTTAAAGAAGTTAATTAATAATTTTCTTACCTTTGTGAAATAATACTCCACATATTTGGCATCCCATTCATTTTCTTTATTGATTGATCACATCAATTGATTGATTTCCCATCAATTATTCTTCATCAAACAACCAATACCGATGATGATGATGATAGAAGAGCTGTAAAACAAGAAGTCATATAAATAATAATAATAACAACATATCATTTACTTATTATTACTTGAGTTGACATTAAAATTTGTTTTTGTTTAAATAAAATCTTTCTGTGAGAAAGAGATGTTATGTGAAATGTTGTTGATTGTATTTAAAAAAATAATTATTTCAATTAAATTACACGACATTTTTGTATTCTCTTTAACGGTTTTTATAAAATCATTATTATTATTATTACGTAATAATTTATAAAAAGTAATAATCAAGGTATACGTGTTAAACAAATCTTCTTCTTCTCCTTTTTTTTTCTTTATTACAAAAATATTATATAAAAATAAAAACGTTTTAAATATTTCAAATAATAATAATAATAATAATAATAATAATATTTTAAATAATAAGTTCGAAAAAAAATTTAAAACAAGTTTTTTTTTCCCTCTTTTTTTTCTTTTTTTTTTTCTTCGAGAAACATATTCTATAAATATTATGAATCATGTTTTTCACCTTCTTATTAACTTTTTATATTTCATCCTTTTTTTTAAATGTCAGACACATAAAATTAAAAAATAATTTGTTTTTTTTTTTTCTTTTTCCTTTTCTAAATCTCATGAATAAAGTTTGCTAAAAAAAAAAATTCTTTACTAAGAATTTCACCAAGTAAAAAAATTATTATTTTTTATTCTAAGAATTACATTCCATCATGTACATTATAGTCAAAAAAAATTACTTTCTATATGTTTCGATTCCCTCCCCTTTCCCCCCACGAAAAAGAGACAAATTTCAATATATATATATATTTTTTATAAATTATTATTTGTTTAAAAATAAAAAAAAAATGAACATAGAAATTTTAAACCGTTAACACATTATTTAATGGATTCATTTAATTCATATGGAATTATTATTATTATTACCTGTTAAATTTTAATAATTTATTTACGTTTCGTTAATTTATATTAATAAAATTATCAATTATTATTATTATTATTTGTTTTAAATATAATTACGTAACTATAATAAAATAAATATTAAATATAAATGAAACAAATTTGCGTCGTATTCAATTCACTACAATCTAAATAAAAACAAAAGAAACGCGCGAAATTGACAAATTTCCGTTTGGTTTTAGAAGGCGGTGAAAAAAATTTTATTTTTTGGATTTGAAAAATGAAATGAAAGTCAAGTTTTTTTTTTTTTTTTGTTTTTTTTACGTGATAGAACTTATTAAAAATTATTAAAACTTATAGAAAATCTATCAAGTAAGTAAGATTATTTAATATTGCTTTCTCCGGATCAAAGACTAACTTTTTAAAACAACCTTTTACTTTAAAATAATAAATCTTGATTATAAAAAAAAAAAAGTGAAAAATTTCAAGTTTGACCCTAGTTTATATTTTATATTATTAATTCATAACGTAAGTTTTCATAAAAAAAGAATTTCGTAAAAATACAAAAACGATAAAATCGATTTGATTGATTAATTGAATTCGATGATGAATCGATAAAATCAATCGATAAAAATGATAAAGTTAAATTTTGTTTTTTTTTGTTGTAGTAAGTCTAATAAGACCAAAGAGAGAAACAGGAGAAAAGAAAATAGTTTGTTATTATACAAACTGGTCGGTTTATAGGCCAGGTACGGCAAAATTTTCACCGCAAAATATAAATCCTTATTTGTGTACGCATTTAATATACGCCTTCGGTGGTCTGTCAAAAGAAAATGCATTGAAACCTTTCGATAAATATCAAGATATCGAACAAGGAGGTTATGCTAAATTTAACGGTTTAAAAACCTACAATAAAAATTTAAAGACTATGCTTGCCATCGGAGGATGGAACGAAGGTTCTGCAAGGTTTTCACCGCTTGTTGCCGATTCCGAAAGAAGGAGGGAACTAGTCAAAAATACAATAAAATTTTTAAGGCAAAATCATTTCGATGGTTTGGATTTAGATTGGGAATATCCGAGTTTTAGAGATGGTGGTAAACCGAGAGATAGAGATAATTATGCATCTTTGGTTCAGGTATGATTAAAATCCTTTTAAATAATACAAACAAACAAAAAATTAGAATTGCAATTATATAAAATTTTGTTATATTAATTTAAGGAATTCAGAGAAGAATTCCAAAGAGAATCGGATAAAACCGGAAGAACAAGACTACTGTTGACGATGGCTGTTCCTGCTGGTATCGAATACATAGACAAAGGTTACGACGTGAAAAAATTAAATAAATATTTAGATTGGATGAATATTTTGAGTTATGATTATCATTCGGCTTTCGAACCGTCCATTAATCATCATTCGCCATTGTTTTCTTTAGAAGAAGATGACGAATATAATTTTGATGCTCAATTGAGTATTGTAAGTGTGGTTTGTATATTAATTCAAAGGAAATATGTAAAAGGAAAATTATTCAAATGAAATTTTGTTAAAGGATTACACGGTTAAACATTACTTAAAACTTGGCGCGGATAGAAGTAAATTAGTGTTGGGTATACCTACCTATGGAAGATCTTATACTTTATTTAATCCTGATGCAACCGATATTGGATCCCCTGCTGACGGTCCTGGAGAACAAGGAGAAGCAACTCGTGAAAAAGGATATCTTGCTTATTACGAAGTAAATCTAAAAAAAGAAAAAATCTTTTTGATAAATTGAATTTTTATTTAAAAAAAAAAAATAATAATAATAATAATAAATTTTAGATTTGTGAAAGATTTACCACCGGCGGTTGGTCTTTAGAAAATCCTTACCCAGAAGCAATGGGTCCCTATACTTACAAGGACAATCAGTGGGTGGGTTTTGATGATGAAGATATAGCTCGAGCCAAGGCCAAATACGTTAATGATAATGATCTCGGTGGTATTATGTTTTGGTCAATTGATAATGATGATTTTAGAGGAAAATGCCACGGCAAACCTTATCCTCTCATTGAAGCTGCAAAAGAAGCACTTTTGGCGTAAGAATTTATTTCCATAATAATAATAATAAAACCCGTTGCGAAATTTTTTATTATGGTGGAAATCATTTCGTGTTAATTTTTGCAGAAGCGCTAATGAATTAGTACCGACAAAAAGTAAAAGTGCAAGTTCTAGTAAAGCAACGAAAAAACAAGAATCGAGCTCTAAATCAAAAAGTAGAAATACACGGTTGCGAATAAAAGCAACAACAACCACAACAACCGAAACACCTAAAGTCAAATCATCAGGTCGAACGACCACCACACCTCAACCTCCCACAACTCCTGATCCAGGAAGCGGTACGTGAAATTAAATTAACCTTCAAATTAACCAACAGATTTTAAATACTTAATTTTCACTTTTTTTTTTTTTTTTTTTGCTTTTAACAGATTTCGTATGCAAAGATGAAGGATTTTATCCACATCCAAGAGATTGTAAAAAGTATTTTTGGTGTTTGGATAGTGGTCCATCTAGTTTGGGAATAGTTGCTCATCAGTTCACTTGTCCATCGGGTTTGGTATTCAATAAAGTATCAGATTCTTGTGATTATGCAAGAAATGTTATTTGTAAAACAAAATCAGAGGTAAATTTAAAATTTCAAAACATTTTTTTGTATATTACAACGTTTATCTAGCAAAAAATTAAAAAATTTCAGAGTACAGAAACAACTACACCAACCACTACAACAACAACAACAACAACAGCTAGAACTACTACTGCTCGAAGTCGATTAGTTGTAACAGCTTCGCCACCTAGAACTACATCTACAACTACCACTGAGCTACCAGAGGAAGAAGAAGAGGAAGAAGAAGAAATCGAATATGATGAAGAAGATGAAGAAGATCCAGGAACTATAAAAGAACTCATAAGTAAATTATTAATTAATTATTTACTTTAGTAAAATAAGAAAACAGTCAAATTTAACTTGCATAATTTTAAATCAGGTTTGATTAAAAAACTCGGTGGCGTCGAACAATTGGAAAAACAATTAAATCTTCAAAATTCCGATACAAAAGAAAAAATTAAACCAAGTTTATACAGCAAAGTTTTGCAGGGAAGACCAGCAAATAGATTTAGAGGAGTAGTCAATCAAGAACAATCTACTCCGAGGTAATAAAAACATATTTTTTTTTTACAGAATCTGTTTAACAATCTTGAAATAATTCTAAATACGTAATTTGATGCAGGTATTTATCGATAGTAAGAAATCGTCCTGTTAGTCCTCAAAGTTCGAGTACCGAAGAAACAGTTACCTCTACAAGAAATGTAGAAAGGCCTAAATATGTCACGATTCAAAGAAATAGGTGAGAAAATTATTTATTTTTAATTCTAAATATAAATAAGTAAATTTTTATCGATTGTAAATATTTTAGATCTACGAAAAGGCCGATCGAAGAAGAAACTGAATCTGAATCTGAATCTGAAGAAGTGGAAGAAGAAGAGGAAGTCGAAGTACAGCCCGTTCAGCCTAGAAGAAAAGAAGAACCGACGACGCCTAAAAGAAAAGAAGAATCTTTGCGACCTTTAAGAAGACGTCCCATTCCGGATGCAACAACTGAAAAAGAATACGTTGTCCTTCGAAGAACGCGACCTCAAAAAGAAGAGGAAGACGTTTCGACAACATCCAAGTAAGTTTTACGTAAAAGTATTTGAGCTTAAGGTACGTTAATGAAAAAGCATTGTAAAAAATCCGAAATTAAAATTATTATTATTATTATTATTATTATTATTTTATACGATCAAAAATATTTATATTGAAAATTTATCTCATTATAGATATAAAAGTATCGTAAGAAATCGACCCACAACCGAAACTGCTGCTGCGGAAGAAGAATTTTCAGATGAAGAAGATGATAATAAAACCGTCGAAGATGAGGAAGAAGGAGATGAAGAAGACATTGAACGAATTCAAAATCGTAAAGAAAAAGAAGATAATGAACCCGTTCAGAAATTTAAAAAATATTCTTCGGTTAGGCGTGATAAAAATGTTGCATCCGATGAGGAAGAGACGAAGGTGAGTGGCCAAAAAGGCCCGGTTATTCAGGGTGAAACACAATCAACAAAAAAAGACTACTACACGTCACGTGGAAGGGATGATGTAAATAATGTAAATAAATATACAAGTCCTAAATATGTAACGATACGGCGAACGCGCCCGGTTACAACCGAATCTTTAGCGAACAATGTAAATATTGTAAATAGTACACCCGCGATTGACGAGGAAAATAACGTTAATTATGAAAATGAAAATAATAAAAGAATTATTGTTAACGGATTGCCACAAAAATCAACAACGGAATTATTTAGAAGAACTCGACCTTTAAAACCGTATACATTTGAGGGAACGACACCGGTTTCAACGGAGTCAACAAACGAAGGAAATGTTCATCGATTTACAGGAAGATTTAGATCGACGACTCAGAGTAATGACGTTTACGAAAACAGGTCTCAATACAATAAATATAAGACCATATATAGAAGCACTACGGCTTCCACAGTTTTCGAAGAAACGGATTCTTCTGATGTAAAAAATGATGATTATTTACCTTTTAAATCCAGAACGAGAGGTGTTACATCCACGAGCACTACAACTTCTTCTCCTGAGAGTGTATACAATCGATATCAAACCATTTATAGAACTTCTTCTGAAAAACCATCAACTGTTGATGACGATTTCGATACATCATCTGAAAATGAAGAAAGAAATGTTAAAGAAATAGATGATAATAAAAGTACTACTTCAGAGCCTGCTAATAATAGGTACAGAACAATTTACAGGAGTACGAGAAAACCTACAACATTGGAATCTAACGATAACTTTCCTTCGTCAAGAGAAAAATTTTTTGGTTCTACCGGCAGTACTACAACTTCATCGTCAGAATCAACTCCGATTAGATATAGAAGTACTCCCAACAGAAGTTCTACAACATTCTCTGCTAAAAATAATTTAAACAATTTTTCACAAAAAGATAACACTTTTGGCGAAGTCTTCGGAAGCAGAACTTCTCCGTCGGATTTTACATTTACTAGATATAAAACGTTATTTAGAAGTACAACAGAAAAAACGTCTTCGACGGATAACGGCGATGATAATAATAATAATAATTATATACCGCAGAGGAAAAGAATTTTTGGAACAATTACAAGTTCGACTTCGTCACCTGAACCTTTATACAATAAATACAAAACAATTCACAGAACCACATCAGAAAAATCTTTGCTTTCTCAAAACAATGAAAATAATTATTCTCAAAGACAAAAACCGTTAAGCACCGTAACAAGTACAACTTCGGCAACTTCTTCTTCTGACAATGTCCCAACGAGAAGATTTCAATTTGCACCACGTACCAAACCTACAATATTATCTCCTAAACCAGTGCAACATACAACAGAAAGTTTTACAATCACCGTTCCAGACTTACCAAACAAAGAGGTTCATTCTTTAACTGAAAATGCAGTTGACTCGCAGGATGGCAATGCACCTTTTCCTTTAGTCACATTAGAACCTACAACAAATGCACCTGTAATTTCCGATTCTAAAAATTTTGATGAACCTGAAAATGATGTTGGGTTAACCTCGACAACAAAAAACACATTTTCTTCACGCGTACCAACAACTTCTACTCAAACTACTATTGTTACGTCAATTACCGAATCATCATTTACCGAAAGAGGAATAATATTGATTCCGAAAAAATCTCGCCTTTCCAATGATAGCGATCTAGATTTCAGTAAAATCGTTACTTCATCGCTTGTACCCCAATCTGAAGTTACTAAACCTTTGAATAAATACCTAGGATATAAAACTATACTCAGACCGACGACGCCATCAACTGATTTTGCAAAAGAAGAAAAAAGCTTATTTAGGAGGTACAAGACAAAATCTACCACCACTACAACGGAAGAACCAGTCCAGTCTAATCCCAGATTCATTCCAAAGAAAACAAGAAATTTTAAGAAAATAATAAGCACCGAACCTCCTACAGCTTCTTCTACAAGTACGCAAAGAAGTAGATTTAGTCCTAGGAATAAACCCAGACAAGCGGAAACATATGAAACAGAGTCAAGTAGCACTTCAAACGGAAGATTTGGAAAAAGGAAAATACCTTATAAAAAATCAGACGTTGATGATTTAGACGTTGAACAAACGGAAAATTATTTTGGAGATAGATATGAAAATAATAATAATAATAATAGATATTTTTTGGCAGAGAAAGAAAAACGAAATTATAGAAATAATTTTTTGAACGCTGCAATAAAAAAAGAAAATCAAACACCTCAAATAAGTGGGGGGTTAAAAAACTTTTCCGAAAAAAATAAACCGATCAATGTTTTTCCAACACAATCAGCTACCGAAGAAGAAACTCCTGAATCAGGAATATCGAGTTTTAACATAAGAAATCAAATTTCTTCAGAAAGGAATCATCGTTTAACGGATGCATCAAACAATAATGAGCCTAATCAACATCCTTCAACTAATTTACAAACCAATATTTATGTACAAAATAACGATAATCCAAATATAAATAATTTATTCGTGACAAACACCCCAGAGAATTTAGTGACAGAATATCCGATACTAAAAGAAACAATCGTCGTTAAAGATGATGATGTTGCTACCACATGGTTCGTAAATAATAGGGAAACAGAAAAGACAACAAGTACAACAATTAATCTCACTCAATCACCACTTGAAAACAATGATAACATAAAACCTGATAAGAATCTTACCTCCTTGAGAAACTTAAGAATGACAACAACATCCGACGTCAATGAAAAAAACGATTTTGTTGAAGTTGACAGCATTCAAGGGGATTTAAATAATTTTAACGATTATAAAACAAAGATAGAAGATAAAATTGAAAGGAAAAGTACGTCTACTACCACCCCCACAAATTTAGGTGTAAATAATAATAATAATAATAATAATAACGATACAAACTTAAAAACATCAAATTTTAGAAATTTAAGAGCGAGATTAAAAAAAAGACCTCATTCTCCCGCTACAAAAAAAACAACAACTGAAAATATTTATAAAGAACCAACTGATTTTTCGAAAAATGCTACGAAATTACCAAGAATAAGAATTGTACAAAAAAGAATAAGAAAATTTGGAAATAATTTTACAACAGCAGAAGAACTTTCGTCGGTAATAATTAAAAATGTACCCGATAAAAATTTCACAAAAAATTTTAAAAATTCAGCAAGATTTAAATATTCGAAACCTCAATATAATATAAATGATGATGACGTAAGGAATAAGGAAAATAATTTTGAAAAAAATGAGAAGGAGGTCGAGGAGGAGGAGGATGATGATGATGATGAAAATGTACAAAATACAAACGAAGCAAAATTTGCTTCTTCTAATTTTAAAAAATTTAGAATAAGAGCAAACGCGACCGATTTTCATTCTAAATTTAATCAAAATAAAAACGTTTTAGAAGAGGACAACAACGATTCATTCAAGAGGTCGCGAAAAGTTGTTATTAGAAAAAATGAACCAACGGAAGGATCAGATAATCCTTCTGATATTTCAAGTTCTCAACTTGATTATAGTTATAGTTCTCCAACCAAAGAGCCTATCAATGGTAATCGGCCATTATTTAGAAATAGTAAATATAGAATAAGAAAATTAAATATAAAAAATTTAGATAGCGATTCATTAGATGTAAGACAAAATCAAAATAATTTAAAAACGTCAAGCTCGAGGGAAATAGTTTTTGGAACGGATAATCCACAAACTACACGAGGATTAGGATTAAAAAATAATATCACGATTGGTCTTTCATTGGATGAAGTAAAAGATCCTCCGAGAGATTATTTTTTAGATCCTTCGGTGGGAACTACCTACGGACTGAGGACCGATAGCACATACGGAGTCACAAAAAGTTTATCTAGTCCAGGTATAACAACGGAAAACTCAGTCAACAATTCTAAATTTCAATCGACAATTAAAGTACCGAATGATTCGTCGCAAAATTTAATATCATCGTCAGATTTGATTCCCGATTCTAAAACCAGCGCATCATCCGATTCGGGATCAAGATATTCGAATATAATACCCGGACCTTTTTCCCGGAAAATTCCCGGAAATCCAGGAAAAGAAACATTCGGGACTAATTTTTTTTACAATCCAAATCGAAAGCTGACAGAGGGATTCATAATAGATGACGATATAAACAATTATGAAAATTTCGAAATAGAAAAAAACGAAATTTCTAAAAACAAAGATGATTTCACGGATAACAATTCGAATTCGGAAATAATAAAAAGTGAAATTCGCGGAAATCGTTTTAACGGAACAAATACGGCGGCTGCTTATCCCCAAGATTCCATCACAAATAAAATTCCCTCAAATCCTAATCGCTTAAATTTTAGAGTAGTAAAAACCAGAATTCGTACGAAAGTGAACCTTACCCAACCGTTGGGACAAGTATCCATTGAAAACCCAACATTATCGAACGACACAGAAGAAGAAAACAATGAAAGTGGAAAGTCTGAACTGTTCAAAAAGAGAAAGAAGGTGATAATAAGAGGTCGACCTATCCATCCAGAGTCAAATGAGAGAGAGGAAGATATCAATAGAAAGACATCTGAGGTAGGAAGAAATTCTCAACCTCTTCCTCGACACTTGGCCTCGACTAATATTTTCATCTTTAAAAAACGGAAGACTTTTTTTTGGACTTTTTTTTTTTTTTTTTTTTTTTTTACTTACGTTTATCATCAACGTGTCAAATTTCTTTTTTTTTCTCTCTCTTCTGAGGGGCAGATGTCGGAAATAATTGGGCCGATATACTAACTGATACTAATTTTCCTTTCTTCTTTGACTGTCTTTTATATAATCAGTCAAACGGATTTTTACTTTTTTTCTCGACATGGCATGACATGTTTTGGAATCTGTTATGAAAAACTTCCAACAGTAGTAGTAAAGTCTGCAAATGAAATTACAAAACTTCCTTATACACACACTTACAACAAAACACAAAAAAAAAAAAAAACTGCCATATTAACATAATTTTTTTTTTTTTGCAATTTCCCCTATTTATTAACGGTTCACATCAAATTTTTATGCTCTGAAGAATTTTTTTTTCAACCATTAATTTATCACATGTTGTTAAATAAACTATAATTTTTTTTTATTAATGTATAAATTTTATAAATTAATAATCACAAACTCTTTCAACTTACATAAAAAATAATTTTAAAAAGTATTCAGAGCATAAAAATTTGATTTATATCATTTTGTATTGTTTATTAAAAAGGTTTTCCCCCCTACCCTCCCCCCTCCCCAATGGTTTTTTTATTGTTTGGGTAAAGAAAATGGTTTTTCTTTTACATTAAAGGTGCAGGTTTAAAAGTTATGGTGGATACTTTTTTTTTATTTGTAATTGGTCAGCTGGTTTAGGATGTCAACATTAATGAGTAAAATTTACTTATTGTACATAAATTTATCAAAAGGTTTAAATGTAAATAGAAAGGCTCTTTTTTTCAATTTTTAGGTATTTTCACGATAAACAAAAAAATTAAGGTTTTGTAGGTTTTCAAAACATTCAATGACAAAATATATACTTTTTCAGTAATGTTTCTTTTAAGAAAAACACCCTAATTCGTTTTTTTTTTTTTTTTGTTTAACCGAATTATTTTAAATAAATAAAAAATAAATTTTTAATGTTTATAGGTATACTCACCATCTAGTAGTACTCCAAAGCCAACTTCAAATCGAAGAGGTAATCAAGAACCTTCAACAGGAGCAAGATTTAAAGTCCGATCGACGACTCAAACACCTAATGGTGAAAAATCAGAAAGAAGACGTACTTTATTAGACAGAAGAAGATTAAAACAAAATTTAAAATCGACAACGACGTCGAAAACGGTTGAAATATTCACAGGTTTAAATTTTTTTTAAAATTATTTTTATTAAAATTTTCCTAAATTTAATAATAATGATGAATTAATTTACAGAGCCACCACCCACTACAATCAGGCCGGTTAATCTTTTAAGACGAAGAAACAGGCCGACGACTAGTACTACAGTATCAACAACAACGAGTAGCACGACTACAGAAATACCTTACCTCGTCGTACAAGACGACAGCAGCATTGAAGAATCAAAAACATTGAATGAAAGTCCCGGTATTCAAGATTTGGCAGATCCAGCTGTTGTTGCAATTCACACTTTGGCGACAGTACCTCCTGGTTTATTATCTTCTTCCGGAAGGCCCGTGACTTATTACAATGCACCTCCTGATACTTATACCGTTCACGTAACACCGGGAGATATCGAAAGCATAACACCCGGAAGAATTTCAACCATCGCTCCTGGAACTGTAAGACCAACATCTATATTAACATTGAAACCTTTTACCGTTCCGGTCATAACAAAACAACAAGCAAAACAAAATTCAGTTCCGATCAGGACACCATCACCTTTCAGAGGTAAATTTTGTCCATTTTGAATTTTCCAAAAGTTTAAAAAAAAAAAAAAAAAAATTATTCGTACTTTTTGTATAACAGCCACAGGAATTCCGATTGTCACCGAAGATCCATTTGCATCTAGAAATGATATTTTGGAACAATCAAGAAGATTAGAATCAGTTCCCAAAGGTAGACCGACAATAACCGCACTTACTCCATCAACTCCATCACCCAGGATAGAATCGAAAAAATCTGAAAGAATAAAACCATTTAGTAAAATATCTGCACCGGAAATAGTTCAAACCGTCAATTCACCTGATCCAGGATCGGATTACGAATACTACGAAGATGATGATCCATTAGCAAACGTGAGTAAAAAATCCTAAAAAAAAAAAAAAAAAATTTCAATAAAAATTCGATACGAATAAATATTAATATAAAAATAAATTACCAAAAATGTTTTATTTTCACAGCTTCCAGCAAGTGCATTAAAGGTTAAAGTTCACAGTAACGGTTACATCGAATGTTTAGATAGAGGAAATTTTCCACATCCTTTTTCGTGTAAAAAATTTATTTCTTGTGCTAAAATGGAAAACAATGAACTTTTAGGATGGGAATACACGTGTCCAAAACATTTAAGTTTTGATCCAGTTGGTGGAATATGTAACTGGTCAGCTGGTTTAGGATGTCAACATTAATGAGTAAAAAATTCTTTTTTTTTTTTTTAAATTCAAATTTGAAATTTGTTTAAAAAAAAAAAAGAATTTTTTAACGTGCCATTATCCTATTAAAGGATTTGACAATTTTTTTTTTTATGTCGAGGTTAATTTTTGATGTTTTGATATTATATCAAAAGACATTATCATCAATAATTATTTACATTAAAATTTAATGCCTCCTCCAATTTGAACTGAAAGTTTTTTTTTTTTTTTTTTTTCATTTGTTTAAATTAATTAAAAAAAAAAACAGACACCCAAATAAATATAATCGTCGTTAATAAGTGAATAATAATAATAATAATAATACTTTTTATATAATACAGTCAACGTTTTTTTTTAATAATAATAAATTATTATTTAATTTTTTTTTTTTTTTGTAAAAAAAAATTAATTTACTAGTGACTGTTTTTTTTTTTTTTTTTCTATCTTTGTGAAAAAGTGATTATAAATTCAATTATTCTTTTTTTTGTATTGTAAATAATAATAATAATAAAAAATATAATTGATTTAAATAAATTATCGATTACATAATTATTTAATAAAAAAAAAAAAAAAAACGAAAACAATATTTTTACAACAAAAAAATTTATTTTAAAGGAATTTATATCATTTCCCCGTTCAAATTGTTTTTTTTTTTTTTTTTTATAAACAAAAATAATGTTTAACGTTTCATTCTTCAAAGCAATGCAAAAAAAAAATTAAAAGCAATTTTAATAATTTTTTTATAAAGCAATTATTATTATTATTATTATTATTAATCACCTAAAGCCCATATTTCACCATTTATTATCATGCGTTAAAAAAAAATAAAAATAATAATAATTAATTAGGGTTTGTATATTAAAATAATAATAATAATAATAATAATAATAAAAATTATAATTGTACATACATAAATAAAAAATGAGAAAAATTATGTAAGTCATCATAATAGAGATAAAAAATAAATTAATACTATAAAAAATAAATTTATGTATAGATAACTGGAAAAAAATATTTTTCCTCGTTTTATTTTTTATTTTTATTTATTAATCCTGCGCCATAAAAAATTTATTTAAAAAAAATAAAAATACCCTAACGGAAGTAGAAACTCCACGTGTAATTCAAAAAGCGTTTAAATTAACCGGAAACGCACAAAAACGCAATTCAACCCAACCCAACCCAACAAAAAAAAAAAATCCCGACAACCTAAGCAATCGATTTCCCCCAACTCCCTCCCCTTTTTTAATTTCGTTCCTGCATTTCTACGCAACATTTAAAATTATTATTATTATAAAAAAAAAAAAAAAATGTTGGAACGTATAAGTAAAATTTCATTTATAAAAATCATTCCATTATTAACAATAATAATAATAATAATAATAATAATAATAAAATCTTTTTAACATTTTTTTTTTGGTTTTCTCGTCAGATAATATCATGTTTTTGTTATTATTATAAATATTATTATTTTTCTTTTTTTTAAAATAATTAAAAAAATATTTTAATATATATATATATATGTGTAAAAAAAAAAAAAAAAAAAAAAAAAAAAAAAAAAAAACTTTTTAGTATTTTTAGTTTTTATACATGGGGAGGCACATGGTTGGCTTTGAAATTAAAAAAATTAAAAAATTAAAAAATAAATAAATAAATTTCTTTCTTCATTCTTTGTCTTCATTCATCTTAAACAAGTGAAAATCCTTGATTCTGTTTGATGGCTTGACAGAGTTTATATTTTAACCTTTCTTTGGTTTTATAACGAGGTAGATCTAACAAATTGAAACAAGTGTGAGCGACTGGAAGGTATTTCTCGTCATTGGTTGGTTGTATGTAAATCTAAAGAACAATTTAAAAAGATTTGAGGTTGTTTTTTTTTTTTTTTTCAAAACCCCTTTTATCAAATCACGTGACTCACCGTGATGGCTTTCATTCCTTGCAATGGTATCCGATCGCTCCCCGTTAAAAATAACAAAAAATTTTTCTTCTCTTCCAAGGGTAACTCGTGAAAAACTTCCCAAAATAATTTTATCGTGTGATCTTTTTTCGTGTATCCATTTTTGTATTCTGCATTTCTTTCGAATTCTTCCCAATCGTAATTTTCGTTGCCCACGACCAGAGTCATCAGTTCTTGCGAATGAAACAAACCTAAAACTTTACCACCGCAAACTTTGTGGAAACCGTTGAAAAATGCCGTGAAATGCTGATGAACGGATTTATTTAATATGAAATCAACGTATAAATCCACAAATTCTTTTCTAGAAAAAAAAAAAAAAAAAAAAAAAAAAGCAATAAATAAATAAAACAAGTTTCCCCCTCCCCCTACCCATTCATTCATCTTACTTATTTTCTTGCGTGACGATTATTTTCGATCCATTTTCTTTCAACGGCATAGATTTTATTTCACCAAATATATCTCTCGTTATATCGAACGTAAGACAAAAAACATCCGGTAAATCTGGTTCGGTGTAATCTAAAAGATCTTGAAGACTCCTTGAAAAAATTCAAACCAATTTGGATGCTTAACAATAAATATTTATAAAAACGTAAGAGAGAAAAAAAAAATTTTTTTTTTTTTACTAACTTGGCAAGAGTCGGCGAAAGACCCTTTAAATCTTTAAGGGTTACTTTTTCGTGTAATAATTTTTTGTACAATGCTAATGGAAACGGCAAATCGATAATCGTTTGATTATAAATGGCCAAACCGCAAAGGAGACCTAAAATTTTTATTGATTTTTTTGTAATGTCATTTTATAAAAAAAATTTCATCGAATAATACAAATTTTTTTTTTCTATTTTCAGAGAGAAGATTAGTCAAACCATCATTTTGTGTCCGTTTTTAAAAATGTTTTCATCATGAAATTTCAAAAAGAGTAATTAAATAATAATAATAATAATTTTAATTTTACTCACCGATTAAAAAATACATTAATTCATCTTCGAACGAAACTTCACTGAACCAAATCGTTCTCGTTTCATCGTAATTTTTAAACATTCCATATTTTGGATCGAGAACTTCCCGAAGAACCAACATGAAAAATTCTTTACGGACTCCTCCGGCATCCTCGGCTTCTTCCCCGAGAAATTTGACCTGAATCACACGAACGCATATTACAAATTTAATACAAAATACCCAATCTACAAAAAAAATTCAAACCAACCCTCAACGGTTTCTTAAGATCCCTGGAATCGTAATTTGCCAATTGATCGATTGTATTCTGAACAATGTTTTCTCGCGTGACGTGAAGAGTTAAAAATTGTTCTCCCGACATTCCGATAAAAGGAGCAAATAATTGTGTTACCAATCGGGGAAGAGCTTGAGACATCGCTGTTTGCATCTAAAAAAAAAAACTAAATTATTAAAAAGAAAAATTTAATTGTTATGACGTTCGTTAAATTTTTTTTTTTACCTGTAAAACTTGATCTGTTTGCAACAAAGAAGTTTTCGCTTCGGCATCAAAAAGAAATGGATAATTACAGAAAAATAATTTTGTACCGGGTGCGCTATTATCCGCCAACCATTTTACGTAGTCTACACGAACATCAATCACATCTCTTAGTTCCGGAAGGTAAAATGTATCGTAAGGCACTTTTAAATTTTCTACACTATTATTTAATCCGTTTAAAAAAGCCAATACGTCAAGGGCTACAATTGTCGATTCGGCAAAATATTTATTCTGAAAATTTCAATCAATCATTTAATACAATATATATAAAATACATTAAAAGTTTTAAAACAAACAAAACGAAATATTGCACCTCCTGTTCCGGTTTTAAAGATCTCAAATGGTAAGAAACAACATCTTTATACAATCTGACTAGACGTTCAAAATAATCAGACGTCATAACGGACCACCACAAACCAATTATTTTCGAACAATCGGATTTTATTCCTAAAAGTTTTTTACCAAAGACGGCTTGCAATTTATCACAGTTTCTGGGATTTTCGAATTGGTGGTATAAAGGCAATATTAAATAACATCTAAGGCTTTCTATATCTACAGGATTGAGCGGTAACGAGGGTATCACATGTTCGGTTAAACCGTCCCATATCTGAAAGAAATAAAATCGTTGCTTTGAAAATAAATACTGTAGGGCATTTACGACAGCATAATTTACGTATTTAAAAAAAAAAAAAAAGATATATTTACTAAATCACATATGGATTGATTTTCTATTCTGGCAATTTCACTAAAGATATTTTCAGCTTTATTTAAGTCCACGCCATGATTTTTAACGGTGCAACAATAATGGTCGTCGTTCGATAATAAAAATGAGCCATTTATAGCTGCTTGACTTCGAAAAACTGTTTCCATATACAAAAATAAATCTTCATCGACAGGATCACCAGGTTTTGTTTTACGACATTGTGAAATTTTATCGGGCTTTATGGTCAGTATTTGAGTTTTTTCTTTGAATATTCGATTGTCTTCTGGATGTATGTTTGCTTTGTAAGGTACAACAGTTACAAAACTTTGATTTCCTCCACTAAATATATGCGTAACCAAAACATTTTCCGATGTTTTTTTCTTATCGGTTATAACTGGAACCCCAGAAGGAGACACCCAAGGTCCTAAAACAACTTGTGGCGTGGAGCAATTTGTTTTTACTCTCGTTCCCAATTGGCCGCCACCTCCTAAGCCGAATGAGTAAACCCTACCACGAGACGGAACCAATGCTAAAGTATGTCGCCTGAAAAATTTTTTTGGTTGAAGTAACATATATTATTTTGTAGAAAAAATTTCATTAAAAATTGTGGATATTAAAGAAAATGATGATTTACTTTCCGCAAGAAACTTGAGTAACAGTGCTACCCATCAATTCCATAATTTTACGAGGTAATATTTCATTACTGGTTGAACCGTGTCCCAATTGACCGTACATGCCAGCTCCACAAGTAAAAACACCCCCATCTGCAGAAAGAAAAGCAGAAAAATCTTCTCCGCATGCTATATATTTTACCCGTATTGATCTGAGAGTTTTTAATTGAGTTGGGTGCAGTTTATTTTCTTCATCGTTTAAACCTAACTGTCCATATGTATTTTTACCCCAACCATAAATGGCTCCTAACAAAATATAATGTAGTTTCCATTTCATAATAAGATAATCAACAATAAAAAATAACTTATTTCTTTAAATAAAAAAAATTGTACCTGATTTAGAAAGAGCAAAACTGTGATTACTTCCGCAAGCGATAAAAGCAATGGGTATTCCTAAAAGTGATTTAATAAGTGTTGGTTGCTTTTCATATTCTGAACGCATACCTAGACCTAATTGCCCATCATAATTTCCTCCCCAAGAATATAATTCCCCATCTGAAATTAAAAAAAATAATTTGATAATACATTTTTAAAATGTTTCTTTCTTTTAAAAATTATATATATATTTACTTACTGTTAGTCAGAGCTAAAGAATGATTTTTGCCACAAGAAATTTGCACAATGTGAAATGTAGCTAAACTTTTTATAATTTTTGGTAATGGTTGTGTTGTACCATTAAAACCTAACTGTCCATGGCTATCTGAACCCCAACCGAAAAGTTGACCCCATTCATTAAATGCTAAAGTGTGATTTCCACCACAGGAAATTTTAGTTATCCTATAAAAATCAAGCCCTTCTACTTTTTCTGTAATTATTAAAAATTATTGAAAAAATAAAAATGAATGAAAATGAGAAAAAATAAAATTAAAACGTTTAAAAAAATTTTCGAATAATTACTAACCTGGTTTTGTTCTTTGTTTTTTGTGACCCAACTGATCAAGATCATTATTTCCACAAGAAAAAACTTCCCCTGATTTAGTTAACATCACAGTATGGTTTTCTCCCATAGTCACTAATTATTAAAACAGAAACTACATTTTATATCCTATACACCAATTAAGTATTTCATACACATGTTGTAATAATTTATACCTTGGGATACATTAGATGCATATTTGAATGTATGCTCTATAGGTGCAAAAATTTGATCATGTTCTATTCCGCCCAAGCCCAGTTCGCCATGAACAGTACTACCCCAGCAGTACATTATATGACCATTGAAATGTAGTAATCTTTGCAAATCGGAATCTGAGTGATCCTAAACAAATAAACATTATTGAAATTAAATATAATTAAAAATTTTCTTTAAAAATAAAACAACAATCAAAACGACAAAAAATTTACAAAGCACAATGAAGAACATAAAATTACAATAAAATAGAAAATAAATGTAATTTTATTTAAATATAATTTGAAGAATTTAAATTTGTTTTCTCTATTATGAAATATTTATATTACCAATACATCTATTTTTAAAATAAGAGTTAAAAATAAAAAAATTATTAGTATTTTAGTATGACAGTTTTATTATAAGAACATTAGCATAAAATTAGTTAGTCACATTCCTAAATACAAACTTACACATTTATGAAATCTTGGAGAATATTTTCCAGAAGTAGCACTTTCTATATCCATATCTCTACACCCATTTCACAACAAACCAACCATTCTACTTAAAATAAAATTAGGTTACTGAAAAAGGTTTCATGCAAAGCATTGCAACACACCACAAAATAAATTTTGATCAACTTACCAAAAACTCTGTATAAGGAAATCAGCATGTGCCTCCCTAAGGATTAAAAAAGAAAAAATTAAAAAAAAAAGTAACAACAAAAAAAATTCAAAATAAATCATGATGTCATTATAGTATTTAGACTAAATTAAAAAATACCTAACGAAAAATTTTGCGCCAATATATTCCTTAAATAAAATTAAATATTTGCATCCCGCTAAAAATTTTACAAAAAAAAAAAAAAAATCCGTTAGGGGTAGGAGTGAATTGGGCTATTAATTTATGACGAATAATCTAAATATAATTTAAAAATAATAAAAATGAATTTATTTTAGAGTAATTAAAAATAACGAGTCGTAAAGTAATTTTCCAAAAATAAATTGTAATTAAAAAGAATAAGAAAAAATAATTAAAAATAATTAAATATTATCTTACCATCATAAATTCCAAAAAATATGTAACAGAAACCAAATAATATTTTCAATGTTGGTATAATTTTATTCCCATTTTAAAATAATTATTCAATAAGAAATAATATTTACAAGCTAACAAAAAAGATACTGAAAAATTTTTTACGAACGCATTAAAAAATTCTAAATGATAAAATGACTACTTAATGACTTGATTATTTTTAAAAAAAATTACGTTGAATTAAAAATTCATTAACTTTGGTAGTTAAAGTTGGCCATTCTGGTTTCAGAATTGAGGGAAAAAGCTGCACTATGGCTATTCAAAGGCTTTAAGGTTACTGGAACAGTAATTATGTCTCAAAAAACGTTATTGTGAGTAAATATTTGCTTAATTACAAAAACCTTTGAATAATTTCCCAAAATTATTCTTTGTTAGAAGTCAGTTTTTAATTTTCAATAGCTGGACTTTTTCTTAAACCATAAAATATAACGTCCCTTTTTATTCTTTTTTATTTAGGTCATTTTTTGCTCCAAAGGGGCAAAGTATTGGAAATAGAAGCACGAGTATGAGTGCTGCTAAAACCGAAGAAGAAAATTGGTAATAACTTCTCCATTGGTTTATCCTCAAATTTTTGAATTTAATTATATGTATATATATACATAAATTTTTACATTAGTTATGAGTTTAAAAAAAATTGTATCTAAAAATTTATTCCGATATATAATAAATAAAAATTTTAAAAATATGGGAGAAACTACAATTACTCCTAACCAAGAATATAAAATCGTCAGCAATACCAAATCATATGATATAATTTCAAAATTTTTCTTAATTAGTTCTGCAGATGAAAATTCCCCAATTAAAGCTACAGGTAGTAAAAAAAGACTTAGGATTTCAAGTTCTAGTAGTGATAAAGATTCTGAAACTGATGATTTAGAAACCACTGAAAAAAAATCTGTAGATTCTAGAATCAAGAAAACTAGTCAAAAAGTTGCCAAATTAACAACTTCTAGTAAGGTAAATCCACTACAATCATCAGATAATTCTATAACAGATAAAAAAGACAACTTAGACAAAAAAAATTGTACAAACATAGAAAAAAGTAATAATATTACTTCTGAAAGTAAAACAGAAAAAGTGGAAAAGACGAATAAAAAAGGTAAATGTTTATTATTATTATTTTTCTTTAAAAATGAAATTAATTTAAATTATTTAAATAATATTAAGAAAAATGTTTTATTTTTAAAATTTAGATTCTTCTCCAGTTAAAGAGAAAGTCAGCAAATGTAATGTATTAGTCGAAGATTATAATCCAACTTTACCCAAGTATCATCCTATCAAAAATGCTTGCTGGGAATATGGTGAAAAGTTAGTTTAATTTTTTTTTATGAAATATCAAATTTAAATGGTCTCTCTCTTTTTTTCTCTCTATATATAACTTTTGTTTTAAATAAAATTTTCAGAGTGCCTTATTATGCTTTGACTAAAACATTTGAAGAAATTGAAAAAGTATCTGCCAGATTAAAAATGATAGAAATATTATCAAATTTTTTAAGATCTGTAATTGTATTAACACCTGATGATTTATTACCATGCATATATCTCAGCTTGAATAAACTTGGGCCAGCTCATGAAGGTTTGGAATTAGGTTTGGCTGAGCAAACATTGATTCGGGTAATCTCACAAAGCACAGGAAGAACTGTAACACAAGTAATAAATAATTAAATTATTTAATTATTATTATTAAAAATAAAATTTTTTTTTCATTTATCAAATGAAAACTTTTATTATTATAGATTCGAAATGAAGTTCAGGAAGTTGGAGATTTGGGATTGGTAGCAGAAAAAAGTAGAACATCCCAAAAATTAATGTTTAAACCATCTCCCTTGAATGTAAATGGTGTTTTTAAAAAATTTACAGAGATAGCTAATCTAACTGGGAAAGATTCTGTAAATAAAAAAATATCTATGGTTAGTAACTTATTCACAGCTTGCAAAGGACCTGAAGCAAAATTTTTAATGAGATCTTTAAATGGAAAACTCAGAATTGGTTTAGCAGAGCAATCTGTTTTACAGGTAATAATAATAATAAAAAACTAAAATTATAAGAAAAATAATTATCATTTTTTTTTTTTACAAAATTTAAAATGATTATTTTTTTAGGCTGTTGCTTTAGCATGTGCTACAACTCCACCCGGACAAAAATATCCGCCGAAAAATTTAGATGTAAGTTCCACAATGTCTCCCGATACGTTTAAATCTCACGTTGATGAATTGGCGTTAATATTAAAAACGACGTATTGCGAATGCCCGAACTATGGAATGTTAGTACCTGTGTTATTAAAGGAAGGAATATCCGCTTTGCCAAAACATTGTAAAATCACTCCCGGCTTACCCATGAAACCAATGTTGGCTCAACCAACAAAAGGAGTTCAAGAGGTTTTGACAAGGTTTGAAGATATGGAGTTTACGTGCGAATGGAAATACGATGGTGAAAGAGCACAGGTTTGAATAAAAACGAATTAAAAAAAAAAAAAAAAAAAAAAAACTAAATATGATTTTTACAATAAAATAATCAATTTTTAGATTCATTACTTGGAAAATGGAAAAGTTAAAATTTTTAGTAGGAATCAAGAAGACAATACGTCAAAATATCCTGACATCATATCCAGAATACAACAAGTAAAAAAAGACAGCGTGACATCTTTTATATTAGACTGCGAAGCCGTGGCTTGGGACAAAGAAAACAATGCGATTTTACCATTTCAAGTATGGACGACAAAAGACGACAAAATACAATTTTATAACGATCGGAAATTTTTCCCCTCCCCCCCCGTTAAAAAAATATTTATTTTTCAGGTTTTGATTAAACGTAAGAGAAAAGACGTGGCAGAATCGGATATCAAAGTACCCGTTTGCGTTTACATGTTTGATCTTCTTTACCTAAATGGAAAACCGTTGGTGAAAGAAAAATTTATCGATCGACGTCGTTTGTTACAAGAAAATTTCAATGAAGTTTTGGGCGAATGGACGTTTGCCAAATCGATAGACACTACTAAAATGGAAGAAGTATGTAACGGGAAACCTTAACGACGAGCGATGTGAAAAATAGAAAAAATTAAATTTTTGTAATTTTTTCGTAACAGGTACAAGAATTTTTAGAAGAATCGATCAAAGGGAATTGCGAGGGTTTGATGGTGAAAACATTAAGAGAAGAAGCAACGTATGAAATTGCAAAAAGATCTAAAAATTGGTTGAAACTCAAAAAGGATTATCTCGAAGGAGTCGGCGATACTTTGGATTTGGTCGTTTTGGGTGGTTATCTGGGCAAAGGTAAAAGAACGGGTACATATGGCGGTTTTCTCATCGGTTGTTACGATAACGATAACGAAGAATATCAAAGTATTTGCAAGGTTGGTTGGTTTAGAGAACAAACATGTATACTTTTTCTGCAATTTTTCATAAAGTTAGTTTAATAATAATAATAATAAAAATAAATAAATAAAATTTTTTTTATTATTTTAGCTCGGCACCGGATTTTCCGACGAATCTTTAGCTCAACACACGGAATTTTTCAAACCTCACGTCATAACTCAGGCTCCATCGTATTATCAATACGATACGTCAATGGAACCTGATCATTGGTTCGAACCCATTCAAGTGTGGGAAACTAAATGCGCTGATTTTTCATTATCGCCCATTCATCGAGCTGCAGTCGGAGTTGTAAGACTGCCTTTACTTTATTTTTTTTCCTTCCCATTTTTATATTAAAAAACAAATTTTCATTATTATTATTATTATTATTATTATTATTATTCAGGTAGATCCCGTGAAAGGTATTTCGCTGAGATTTCCCAGATTTCTCAGAATAAGAGATGATAAAAAACCGGAAGATGCAACGACGGCTCAGCAAATAATCGATTTGTATCACAATCAAGAACAAGTTAAATGTCAAAATTCAGTGAAATTTCAAGAAGAAGATTTTTATTAAAAAAAAAAAAAAAATAGAAAGAAACCTTATTTTATTATTATCATTATTATTTTTTTTTTGCGTTCAATAGTATCCGCCGCGTTTTATACCGCGTTAGTGCCAGTCATTTTAAAAAAAAAATTGTGCGTAATGCTCAGTGCGTAAGAAAATTTTTTTTTAGTAACAAATGAATCGATTTTTATTTTTTATTTTTAATTATATATAATAAAAACTTAAATTTTAAGCATTTTTAATTTTTTTAAATATATTTTTTTTTTTTTGGAAAAAACATTTTGTTTGTTTTCCTTTCCTTTTTAATATCGACAAAATTAATCTCATCATCATTATCATTTGGATTTTTTTTTTTATATAAAAAAAAGTAAAAAGTCCTCTTTAACGGCAGCATTATTATTATTATTATTATTATTACTATTATTATCGTTATTTTATTACGTTAAAAAAAAAAAAAAAAATATCTTAATCATAAAATGCGTATAAAATTTCTTTTATTTTATTTTTTATTTTTTTTTAAGGCATTTTATTAACGAATTTGGTAACGCGTAAATTAATATCATTATTTATACATTTATAAATACGTAATGATAATAATAATAATAATAATAATAGTAGTAAGCACTATGATGACTGACTTGATACTTTTAATACTTTTTTTAAATTTACTAGATAATTTTTTTCTTACAATTGGCTAATTTTTAATTTTTTTGTTTTTCCCCCGCGTTGGAAAATTTTTTTAATTTTTTTTTTTTGTTAATATCCGTTGTACTGTGACGAATCGTATTCAGGATCGTTCTTTTTCCGACGACCGAACCTACTTTGACTTGATTTTGATTTGTTCTCTGATTTATTAGAATATTGCCTGTATACAACAGTAATGATAATAATTTTTTGTTTAAATGCCCGTGACGTTTCGTTATTATTATTATTATTATTATTATTACTACTTTCCCACCGAATTATATTATTATTATTATTATTAATAGGGAAAAATGCAGAAAAAGTTTTATGATAAAACGATAAAATTCGAGGAGGAAATTAAAAAATTAAATTTTTTTAAATTTAAAACTTTTTCACACGTACTTAGCTTATGTAAAAAAGAAAAAAAAGAAAAAAAAGAAAAGAAAAAAAAAAAACTTACGAAAAAAATGGAATAATCATCGAGAGACTTTTCGAATCAGCTAAATCCGATCTGGATTTCGAAACAACATCAATCATCTGACGTAGATAATGTTGCAATCGTATCCTTCTTTCTTCAACAAACTTTGCATCCTGAAAATAATAAATTTTTTAAAATGTCTGGAAAATTTATCAGACGTTAATGACAAAAAAAAAAAAATAACGTCAAGGAAAATTATACGGTACCTTATTACCGACGGTTTTCTTCGGTGGAAAATCCAAAGTTCCCACCATTGGATATTCTTTTCTGAGATCTTTATGTAATTTGTAAAATTCTTTATATCGTCTATAAATATTCCATTCGTTATCTCTTATTCTTACGCAAACCTGTACCCCCCCAAAAAAAAAAAAAAAAAAAAAGACATAATAATAGTAATAAATAAACATTAGAGAAAGACAAAAGGAAGCAGAAAGCAGGAAATCACACCTGATAAACGTGATGAATATCTGATGATCCTCCGGTAAGGAAAACAGATGGAATGCAAATATTAATTAATATTTCAGGAAATGAAATGATTCCTTCTTCCCAAAGTAAAGTACTTGGAATGGGTCCTCTTAAATCCGTTAATTCTCTTTCCAATCGTTTTATAACATTTTCCTTCGCTTGTATGATTCTTTGCAACTTATCATTGAATTCTATTAATTCGCCATGCATTTCAGCAACTTGAACAAGTTTTTGTTCGTATTGCATAGCTTCTGCTCTATCTAAGAGTGCATCTTTTCCTGCTTCTAAACATGCCAGAGCTTCATGAGCAGCAGTTCCATCTTTATTTAACATCTGTACAGCTTCGACATATTTTCTCAATTGATGTTTGAGAACTTCATTTTCTCTAAGAATAAGAAAAAAAAAAAATTTTTTTTTAATTTTTATTTAATATTATTTAAAATCTAAATGGTTTGATTAAAAAAAAAAAAAATTTTAACCTAGTTAAAGTTTGAAGTCTACTTTGCAATTTAGAATTTTCTTCTTTTTTCTGTTGAGCCAATGACACTAATTTAGTTTTTAACCTTGAATTAATATCTTTAACTTCTTCCAATGAATTTAAAACTGTTTCTATATCTTCTGCTTTAAAAGGTTCTTTAAAATTAATATTTAAAAAATTATTATCCTCTTTTTCATCATCACTGTCAACAACATCTTCAGAAATTTGATCTTCGCTGATCAAAATTAATTCACCGACATTATCGTTTAAAGGAATCAATGTTCGCATAACCTCTACTGGTTTTTCTTCAACTATCGATTCTATTTTACTGATCGAATCAAAATCTTGAAATGAAGAGTCATTTGAACTGTGTGAAGTTTGATCTGGTTTTTTTACTGGATAAAAATAATCAAATGATTTTTGCTCAGATGATGAGCAAAGATAACTGGCAGACTGAGCTGAAGATGATAAACACGTTGGAGGAGCACTGTAACTATCGAGCAAATTTTCATCTTCAACATCGTTTTCAAATGATATAACCTGTCCTGTTGTTTTTCTCCTTCTATGATTTGTTTGAGCTTCTGTAATGATAAATAAAATGACTAATTTATTGACAAACTAATTAATTTTTTTTTCTTTTTTCTTTTGAAACTTTAAATATTTACATATAAAAAATTAAAATTTTATTTTAAATTAGTCAAAAAAAAAAAATTTAGTGATAATTATGTAAAGTAAAACTAAAAAAAAACTCACCTTTAACAGGAATTACTAAAATCGGTTCAGATTTTGATAAATGGCAATCATCAACATTTTCAATGCTTCCATTTAATTTTTTTTCATTGATGCCAATGGCAAAAAATACTGAACTTAATCCAGCTGCAATGTTTGGCAGTGTTGAATTTAATTCTTGATCAAGCAATAATGACCACTCATGATAATATACTAATGCATCATCTGGTTTTGATAACAGACTTTGCATATACCTATTTAAAGACCTTTCATTTAAAGAAGAACGAAGCCAAGCTCGACCTTTACCAACATCTGTCCATACTTCTTTTAAAGACGAAAATCTTTCTAATTCATGTTTATTTAAATGTTGTTTAACATAGTGCCAAAAGCACGGAACTTCTTTAGAGTATCGAAAAGTATTGGCTACGAGACCAGTCACCTGTTCAAAGGTTGATGAATTTTTCGGTTGTGGCCTACTTCTAAGACCATGATTAAGCACAGCTTCTAGAGACCTACATAAATTAAAAACCAATTGGTCGCTTTCGGTAGCGAGCTCTGATCTTCCACCAAATCGAGTTTGACACTGTTTCACTGATCCTAATAAATTATTTAGTAATTGATGTCTCTCCTTTTCGTGAATAGCACTGGGCTTGCTCGAAGCGACATCCGCCATAATGTATTCAAAACAATCCCAATTGTACTTTTCATTAATTTGAACATCACGCACTTTACGTGCTATCCTCGTACATAACTGAACACTAATCCATATTTACGCGTTATTATTTATAAATTACGCCTACTTGCCAGATGTAGAGCAGGGAAATTTTTTTGTCTTAAGGTTGGTATTTCTGATTTCTTCTGCCATTTGTTTTCATGTCTTATCATTCAGTTTGTGTATTTACTTTCCATTTTTCAAATCGTTAACACTGTAATTATAAAGAATTCATTTTTTATTTCAAACTTTTATTAAAATGTTACGATTATGTAGTATTTTCCTTCTACGTAAAAAGGATTATTATGAATTTAATTTACGAAATCATTTAAATCATACTTATTTATTTATAAAATGGTATTATAATACATGTTTTATGTTTTTTTTTTTTACAATATTTTTTTTTTTTTTTTAATCAAATTTTCACCGGCACCATTTTTTTTTGCCCAAAAATTATAATTTAGTATAGTTAATAATAAAATAATTTTACTATTAATTATAGAAATTTTGTGTGTTTGGCACTAATTTCGTTCATTTCCTAAAACGATAAAAAACATTTAAAGACATGCAGCATACATTGATAGGAAATTTATTTCATAGTTTTTTTGTAACACTTAATTTTTAAAAATAAATTAATTAAATATTAATTACTTAATAAATAAAATATTTTCAATAATTTTTTTTTTTTATTAACTTGGGATATTTTTTTTTTTTTTTTTTTGTTGAAAACTAAAAGTTTTAAATTGAAAATTGAGTTTTTACTTTAAAAAAAAAAAAACAAAAAAATTAAATAATTAATATTTATACATACTTTTCAGTCTGATATTTAAAATATTTAGTCAGTTCTTTGTATTATTCATATTTACAATTATTATATTAACCCTTTTTTTTTCTTTTAACTAACCTTGATTTTCCCAATTAGCATAAATTTACAAATTATAAATATTTTTTTTAAAAATAAAAATTAAAAATTATTATGTATACTTATAATTTTTAAAAAAATAATGAAAACCTGATAATTATTTTTTTTTTTTTAAACAAATGTTATTAAAAAAAAAAAAAAAAATTAAAAATATATTTCTAATTTTTGTATTAAATAATTAAAATATAATTTATTAAAATTTTTTTTTTTTAAATAAAAAACTATTACGTAAAATTTCCACCTGGCTCACTTCTAGACGAATTATGGTATACTGATTGATATTGTACATGCCCAGTATGATTCCCTTGAGGAGCATAATTGGCAGGTACAGCAAAACTAGAAAGGCTATGAGCATTTATAGAATTTTTTAAAGGTTTTTCATTATTACTTAAAATGGCTCGGTTTGGATTGTACACTTTCCATTGATTTGGGTTACCAGTCACTCTAGAGTAGGCAGGTGGTGGAGGAGTTTGTTGGCAATTAATAACATCAGGCTGAGGTGTATTCGATAATCTTTGTAATGCCAAACTTGTTTCCGACGTTCTTGTACTGTTTTTTGTTTCTGATGAATTTGTTGATTGCTAAATAATGTGTATATGTTAAACATTTTTATGAATTCAAATTTAGTGTACTCGAATTAAACCAAAAAAAAAAAAAAAAACCAACCTTTTGTCTATTTAATTGAGCATTTTTATTTATTCTTCTTAAAGTACCATTGCTTAAATTAAAAGGCATAGGTGATGGAGGATTTGGAGGTACAGGGGGTCTACCATTATTGATACTCTTCCCCTGTGATGGCATTTGAAAAATATTATGAAAATAAGAATCAGAATATATATTTTCTGATACGTTATGATTGGGAGGAGTACATGCTGATTCTTGCATCATTTCAATGGGGTTGGGAGTTATGTGCATCCATCCATGCTAAAATATTTTCAAAAAAAAAAGTTAAATTTATTAAAACATTAATTAAAAAATTAAATAATTTTTAACATTTACCATTCTACTGTTAATGTGATTCCTGCTTCCCGTCACCAAAGTAGTTGTGGCATAAGGAGCGGGAGAAGTCGATCCTTCTTCACTGCTGCAACCCACACTACTCGATCTTTCATCTGAACCTTCTCGGCAACCTTCAAATTAATTTTTTTTTTTAAATTGAAAAAAACACAAAGGAAATTTTAGGAAGGAAATATTACCTTGAAAGGTAGTGAGAGTATGAGAAGTATCCACTTCAGCATAATCAGGTATGGCTTCTTGTTTTTCACATACGCTATCAGTTTCAGCATATTCGGGAAGAATCTTATTCGTTAAAACTTGTAACAATCTAGCTTCTGATTCTTTATCTGTATTGCTTTGTTTCCATGTAGTTCTACTTTCTATCCATAATGTTGATTCATTGTTAGAATGATTAATTGAGTTTCCTATTGAATGTGGAAGACCTGTACCTGCTTTAAGGCTCAAAGGAGTCGCTAAAACCGCTCCGTTTGATCGCGACTCTATTATCATAATTTAAAAAATTCGTTAAAAAAAAGTCTAAAATTTTTAGTTTTTACTTAGGGTAATGAAAACTGAATAAAACCTACCGTGCAAACCAGGCAAAGTTGATTTTTTTAATTGAAGTTGCCTTCTTCTTACCAATAACATGGCGGCAAAAAGTAAAACCATAACTGCAACCATTGAACCTAATAAAGCAATGAACCACGTTTCCGTTAGGAAATCATTTCCTGAATACGTTTCTTGATTTAATGTTTCCCCTTCGTGCAAATTAATCGATTGCCTATAGTTTTCATTTTAAAAGTATTAGTAATTTTGTTTTAAATTTAAAATTAGGTATTCAACATTTGTAAAAAAAAAAAAAAAAAACCTCAAATGATGATCTAATAATAATAATCTGGATGCGGGATCCAAGCGAAGACTAGCTGGAGAACTAAAAGGTCCCACTCCAGGTTTTGTACAAGCTGCTGCTCGAACATTATAGGTAATTCCAGCAGTTAAATTAGTCAACAGCAAAGAAGGTGAAGTTGTTGTCACGGATAAATTATTAAGACCGTTTCCTTCTACGACAACCTATTTAAAAAAATCAAACGTCAAATTAAAAAATTAAATGATAAAAATACGTATATAATAAAGATAAAGAGGTAGATGAAATATTTATCTACCAAATAACTCCTGATTATTCCATTTTGAGTATGAGTTGGAGGAGGTTTCCATCTTAGATGAACTGCTGTTGAATTTAATAAAATTGCTTCCATGTGAATCGGAGGTTCCGACGGTACTGAAAACATTTAATAATTATTTTAGAATTTTTTTCTTTAATATTTAAAATGAGAAAGGTGTCAGTATATATTTTACCATCTTCCAATGTTTTTGTTGTTTTCGAATTAGAGGGTTTGCCATCGACCGTTTTATAAAAAGGAACAAGAAAAAATTCATATCTTGTATATTTGGCTAAACCCGTGACTTGGAACCCCAAAGCACCTCCAGCTTGTGATACTGTTAACATGCTGTAAGAATCTGCTCCGCGATTACCTCCGTCTAACGCTCTTGAATAAATATAAAATCCTTCGACAAATTCCGAATTGAGAATCTAAAATTCACATTTTTTTAAAATTTAAATTTTCTTTTATTTAATAATTAATAATAAATGTAATTCTTTTCAACTAATACCAACCTCCCAAACTAATTTTATAGATGTCGAACTAACGGCTACAGCTTCCACTAAATCGACAACGTGACTTGAAAAAAGAGTCGATTTTGCTTCTTTCAACAACCTTTCATCCTCATTTTCATCTTCGTCTTCTAATGATTTTTTATTACCGACTTCAATGGCTACGGGTTCTGATACAGCACTCGGATGTGAAAATCCTGAAGTTTAAAATAAAAAAAAAATTTTAGTTAATAATAAAAACAAAAGAAAAGATGATTTTAATTAGTAAAACCAACCATGTGAATTTTCAGCTCGAATTAAAAATCTATAAGTTAATCCCGGTTGCAAATGTTGTTGAATATAGGTGGGTCCAGAAACTCTTCTTGCTGAAATAATCCATCCTCCGGAATTGACAGATGAATTTCTTGTTGATGTTTCTCTACTGAATAATTCAATCTAATAAATAAACAAAAAGATATTATTATTATTATTATTCGATTTTCATATTTAAATGAAAAAATTTATGGGAAATTATGAACCTGATATCCAAGAAGGGACGATGCTCCTATTTTAGGACTTCTTGTCCAAGTTATTGCTGCGGAATCTTGTGTTTTATTAACAATTTGTGGTCTGCTAGGAGCACCGGGAAAAGTAGAAGCATCCGGTGCTCTAAAAAAATTAATGTTTGGATTCATCGGTGATTCTACTCTTAATTGTGCGGCCCACGTTGATTTTCCACTAACCGACGATGCAACGCACGTGTAATATCCGGCATCGGATCTTTCAAGTTCTAAAACGTGAAAAAAAAGTAAGAAAATAATTAATTATTTAAATTAATTAAACAATAATAATGGTAATTGAGAATATTTAAATTTTTTGAATAATAACAATAATATTTATTTTTGAATAATTATAATGATAATGAGAATCATTCAATTTGTAAAAACAATAGAAAGTAAAGATAAAATAATAATAATAATTCTTTGTGCGAGATTCTTTCATTCATTATTATTTAAAAATTTTTCATTTTTTTTTTTTTACCTTGAATCACGAGATTTCCAGATTCCGATATATTTATTTTATCTCTACCGGAAACCAAAGGCACTCCATTTCTATACCATGATATTATCGGAGAAGGATTACCGATCGCTCTGCATGGAAAAATTCCAATCGTTTTTATCGGTAATGTTTGATTCATTGGTCCTTGGATAATGACCGGCGGTGGATGATCTTCCGGTGACATGACAATTAATTTTGCTTTCCACGAAGCCGAACCAGCCGGATTAACCGCCGAACATATCACAACAATTCCAGAATCGTTTTGAGTAGCAGACTAAAATTAATTAATGTCATTCATTGATGATGATGATAAAATTATTGTTTTAAAAAGTTTTTCTTTACGATAAAATTAATAATAAACTCACGTGTAAAGTTAAAAGAATTCTTCCCTCCGGCGTGTTTGAAGCTTTAAACCTATCAACTTTTGCTCCTGGAAAATATAATGATCGATTTCCTTCGACGGACCAAAAAAGTGATGGTCTTGGGTTTCCATCGGCTCCGCATTCAAATTGAGCATCGGTTTCTAAATCGACGATTTGATCTTGAGGTTTGTGTTTCAATTTTGGAGGAGCTATATATATATATATATATATATAAATGAAAATTTAAACCGAAAAACCATTTTGGTTAAGATATTATTAATTGTTTCTAAAACGAGATTCCTATCTTATATTTCAAAAGTTAAATTGATTTTTGTTTTGTATCAAGTTTCTCACTTGCACGAAATTTGAAAGCGTAGAAAATTTTATTTTATTTTTTTTGGGGATGGGAGTTTTTTTTTTTTTTACGTATGCTAAACATTGTTTTTAATAATAAATTTAAATGGAAAATAACAATCAATAATTTAAGAGTTTTAATTATCGGAAAATATATTTCCTTATTATTATTTGAATGGAAGGGGAAAAATTACTTACAATATACGACGAGAGTTGCAGATGCTGATATCATTCCGACATCGTTATCAGCTTCGCACGTGTATTCTCCTTCGTCTTCTGGTGTGACATTATCAAGTCTTAAACTTCTATCGTCCGTTATGTGAACTTTACCCAAAGGCATGTTACCCGCTCCGGCTGTTCTCCTCCAAAGAACATCCGGTAAAGGATCTCCTCCAACTTTACATTGAAAATCAACGCTGTTTCCGGCTAAAACAACCGCGTCCACGGGTCCTTTGATGATAAATGGCTTCACTGAAATGTAATAATTTTGTTTTTTAATTCGGGATACGTCACAAGATGTCTGAAAAATCAAAAAAAAAAAAAAGTTCAAATTGATTTTATTACCGTGAATTTTTAACAAAGCCGTCGCTGATTCTCTTGTTCCGACTACATTTTTAGCAAGGCATTGATATTTTCCATCGTCGCTTTGTCGGACATCTTGAATTGCCAGATTACCACCGTCGACAATTCTAAACCTTTTATTTTTATCTAAATCAATAACGTGTCCATTTTTTTTCCAAAAAACTACAGGTTCCGGATGTCCCTTCGGTGGACCGCATTCTAACAAAGCAGTTTCGCCCAATGCGACTCTCGTGTTGTGTGGAAAAGCTCTAAAATCTTCACGAAGAACTGAAATCATTTTAAAAATAAAATTATTATTATTATTATTATCCAATGGAAATCGGAGTGAAAAAAAATTGTAACAAAAAAAAAAAAAAAAATTCTTCGGATAATCTCCTCCCTCTGCCTCGAACCTTTTTATATATTTTATTCGTCTGGTCTTCTCTTCGTGATTTTTATTACTTTTTATATCCAAATAAAACTTTTTGCCTCGGGGGGGGGGACGGGGGGAAAAAGAAAAAAAAAATTTTTTTTTTTTCTTATCGGACCTAATGGAATGGAAAAAAAAATTGTGGCTTAAAAAAAAAACCGTCGGTTTAATTTCTTTTTGGACTTGGATTCGTTAAAATTTTTCCAAATAATAATAATAATAATAATAGCGAAAAGGTTTTGTGAATGTTTGCAATAACCCTTGTTAATGACGTATAATGAATGTAACGAAGTTAATAATAAAAAATATATTAGGTGACGTCGCACGCAAATAATAATAATTATCCTTGTGGCCTATTGTCCATGTTTATGACGTCATCGTTTGAAAAAAAAATTTTTTTTTTTATTTAAAAACTGCTGTCACATTAAAATTTCTAATTTACGTTGTTTTGGTAAAGAGTCGACCTCAATTACGTAAGATATCCATAACGAAACAACAACTACTTTCGGTTTTTCGAGTTTAAAAAAATTCATATATAGATATAAGAAAGTAAAAGGGAACGAAAATAAAAAAAAAATTGTCATAAAAAATCAATAAATGACACATTAAATAAATAAAAATAAAACCTCGGATGAAAAAGAAAATGGCGCCAAAACAAAAAAAAAAAAACATTATGGGAAACTTTCAGGTGTGATTTTTATTATTAAAAATTTTATGTTTTAATAATAAAAAAATTTTTTATTAATGTTGTTGTTGTTGTTGTAATTGTACAAATTAATTATAATTTAACGAGTGTTTTGAAAATGATTTTAAAAAAAGGTGGTGGGGGAGGGGAGCATTAAGGTAAGGGGGTCATATTTAGGTCAAAAGTAAACAACACCAAAAAAGAAAGTATGTCATTATGTTTATAAAACAAAAACAGTAGCGTATAAAGGTTTTTTCCGTTTTTAAAATTAATGACAAAACAAAAATTGGATTTTTTTAAAACAAGTTGAGGTTTTAAAAGCTCTTCAGTTTTTTTTTACTTGTCGAAAATCACTACCACCACCACCACCACCGCCATCACCATCACCATCACCTCCATTTTTCTAAATACATTTTCTTTTCAAGCACGTCACTCCTTATAATAATCCCGTTACATATAAAAAAAAAAAAACTTGTAACCATAATCTTTTCCATTTTATTTAAAAAAAAAAATCCTCCTGTTTTTTTTTTTATGCTTTCCTTTCAATGATTGACATCATTTATCATTATAAAAGACTTAAGAACCACATTTTTTTTTTTTTTTTTAATGCAACAACCTCATTTCCAAAACCTTTTTTTTTTTTTTGGTTAACAAAAAAAAGGAAAAGAAAAAAGGAAAAAAAAACGTTAAATATATTCATTGACATAAAGTCATCACGGATAAATGTAATTTTTTTTTGTTTAAGTATACATAACTTACATAAATGACTCTTTTTTTTTTTTTATTCCCTTTTGTATAGCAGTAGTAGTAGTAAACCATTTAGTTTTCATCCCCTAATTGGGCGTGGGCCATTTTTTAAACGCAAAATATATAAAAAATAAATAAAAGAAAATTTTTTTTTTTTTATTTAAATTTTTTTTTTTTCTTTCTCGACAAACATCAGAGAAAGAGAAAAAAAGATAAAAAGTGACGTCACATGTACCTTAAAGGTTTAATTAACTTTAATAAAACAACCTTTTAATTAGAAAAATATCAATTAATTTTTTTAAAACTTAAACCTTTTATTTAAACATTTTAAAAGGGATAATTAAAAAATCAATACGTTAATATATAAAAAAAAACCTTTTTTAACTCATTAACCAAAAAAAAAAAGAGAGAGAGAGAGAAAAAGTTTTTTTTTATGAAAAAATTCGTATATAGGATATCGATGATTATTCAGGGAGGAGGGAAAGGAGGAAGGGAGGAGGAAGGAAGAGGAGGGTATCGTTTAAATACACCTCCCTTCGATTTTCCCACCTCTCTCTCGGAAAAAACGATAAAATTCGAAGGAAATGAAAAATTTTCTACCTGTAGACTTTTTTTAAATTTGTGGTGGTGGTGGTGTCACCTGATTTCTCCCTTTTGTCTCCGTTTCAACCCCTAAACTTTCATTTTTTTTACTTTTTTTCTATATATATAAAAAAAGTGAAAAGTTAATTTGATTTAAAAGTGACAGGAAGAAAAGAAAAAAAAAAGAAAAAGAAAAGAAAAGAAAAGATGTGTGGGTAATGAAATTGGTTTTTCCTATTTTTACCGACTCACGACAAAAAAAAATAAAATAAAAAATGGCGGATGGTTTAAATAAAAAAAAAAAAATTGCAACAAAATATTTTGATTTACAACAACAAAGAATTCGTTTTTTTTCAAATCGCATTTAATGGTTATTAAAATCGATTACGGAGAGAGAGAGAGAGAGAGACGGGGGGAGAAAGGGGAGGGGAGAAGGGAAATATTCGACAGGAAAAAATAATCCTCAAGTTTTATTTATAAGAGAATTGTCTGGGTGTGTCGCGAGTATATATTTTTTTTTTTTATATATATAAAATTGCCGACAAAGTTTTCAAGTATTTAAAAACACGACGACGAAAACGTGACACGTTATAATTTATTTAAGATAAATGAATGCCAAAATATTTTTCCTTCCTTTTCCTCCTTCCCCCTCCCATTCCTCCTCCTACTCCTCCTATTCCTTCCCTCTCCAACTCCCTTTTACACCACGTTCTTACAAAATTTTATTTATCGAATCCAATTCTCCATTTCCCGCTTTCCCATTTTCTGTATAATGATAGTAAAAAAAAAAAAGAAAAAAAATTTTCCAACGTGTTTTCCGTCATTTTTTTCTTTTTTTAAACTAGTCGTATTTAATGTTTAACTTACGAGTGACGTATGATCAAGTAAATTTTATCCAACACTGACAAATATCAAGACACAATTTTTTTAATGAAAAATAATTTATCGTTTGTATCTAAACAACGGAAAATACACGACGCGAATAAATGCGATGATGATAATAATAATAATAATAAATTTACAACGCGAGATAAAACCTGAATAATTTAACTATAAATTGATAATAATAATAATAACATATATGGATAAATCATCATTAACGCTTGCGTATAAATACACGTATATCGATGACGACGATGATAATAAATGTGAAGTTTTCGAATTATTATTATTATTATTATTTTTTTTTTTTCTTTTCTCTCATCGATCGTAATCGATACGTTTAAAATGTTATTATTATTAAGTAATTAAAAAATTTTAAAATATAATAATAATATATTTAGAGGGGAGATTGTTGTTTAATATAAATTATTATTATTTTAAAATGAAATTCGAAACTTTGATTAATTATTATTATTATTACGTTCATTTGAAAATTAATAAATATTTTCTAATCAAAAAAAAAAAAACATTTTTTATTACGCATCAATACACGTATTATTATTATTATTATTATTATTATTATTATTATTATTATTATTGATCGTAAATATTGTGAAAATATTTAAATTTAAAAGTTTAAACTTTTTCTTTTTTGGGGGGGTGAGTAAAATTTGAAAAATTTACATCATTAACTAAAATCAAATTACGTTATTATTATTATTATTAATAATAATATGTTAATGTATATAATAAAAAAAACCTAATGTCGGCCATTTTTTTTTTAAAGAAACATTAATAAAATTAAGTAGAATATTTCACATTTAAATATTCTCATATTTCACTTTAAACAAAGTAATAATATAAATTTTTCGTATAGAACCAAAAAAAAAATTTAAAGTTTTTCCTCTTAGTTATCTTCTGCTTCTTTTTTTTTTTTTAAACTTTTTAATATATACGCACGTACGTAGGTTTATATATACGTAATTTTTTTTGTAATAATATGAAAAACGGTTTTATTAATAATAATAATAATAATATAAAATGAAAAAATAATAATAAACGATATACGCGGTATTCATTATGCGAAAAAAAAATGTTTTTTTTTCTTCTCCTTCCTTTTCCCCCCACTCCCCCCGATGAATTTTTTTCTCTCTCTCTCTTTCTCGAAATATAAATAATATATATATATATGTGTATTTATTTAAATAATTTACGACGGAATAATTTTTTATTAATAACAAAAAAAAAAAAATTTTAATTTAAATTCGTTTTTTTTTTTTGAATGAATGAAAATTTACGCCTAATTAACTTGTGTTTATGCAATTTGTAAAACACACGTGGGCGGAAACGCATGACAATTGTCTAATTGTAAATTTTAAAGCGATTTTTGGGGGGAAAAAAAGAAAAAGAAAAGTGGACGTGACGTGTTTCGTAAGATTTTTGAATTCGAGTAATAAAAAAAAATAAAAAATAAAAATTTTCTTTTTATTTTTATTTTTCCTTTCATATTTTATCTTTTTTTTTTTATTTTTTTCTCCGCCACCTTGATTTTTCCTAGATATCACTTCAAAAAAAAATAAAAATAAAATAAAATAAAACTTTAAAGAAATAAGAAAAAAAAAATAAAAAGCAATTTAAAAACTTTAAAATAAGTTTTTATATATATATACTTTTTTTTCTTTCGACAGACCGACAAACTTGATAATACAAACAAAACAAATCAAAAAAAAAAAAAAAACAAACAAACAAACGTAAACGTAAAAAAAAAAATAAATAAATTTTATTTCAATTTTTCTTCTTTTTTTTAGAAAAAAAAAAAAATGAAAAAAAAAAAATGAAAAAAAAAAAATGAAAAAAAAAAAATGAAAAAAAAAAAATGAAAAAAAAAAAAAAGTTTAAAGGAAACTAATAAAATTCTCACATATTATTATTATTATTATTATTACTATTATTATTTACTTT